TCCCGCCCGTCTCAGCCTTCGAATCGTTCCAGCCGAATAGTAGGGCAATGCTCATACGATACCGCCAAAAGGCATGCACAAGATCAATTCAAATATTGCGCAGAGCCATCAGCTTGCGACGTCTGAGTCTCTCATGGCGTGTCACGTTTGCGACTTCGCTCAAGGGCCAGCACAGCCTCAAAAGCACACTCACGGTTGACGAAAAGAGACAGTGTTGAAAGGTACGAACAAGAAAGGCAAGGATGAGAGTGAAGATGAAGAAAAGGTACCGATCGAAAAGAGTGATCTTGGGGAAGGGAAGGAGAGTTGTATGGAGAGAGAGCAGGTAAGAATCAAATGTGGGACTTGGAGGTCAACCAGTGCCGCTGAATGTCATAGTTGCGCCAGCAGCGGTGCCGATTATGCCGAGGGCCTTTGCCACGCCGCCCTTCTTCTTGGTTGCGCCTTCAGCCCCTTCAGCCGCTGCGTCGCCGCCCTCGCTGATGGCTTGGAGTTCAGCGGCTCGGGAGCGTTCGGCTGCCAGGACCTCTTGAGCGCTCGATGTGCCAGCGGTGCCTGAGAGCCCACGGACGGACGCAGAACCCGCTCCGCTCCTACCAGCGAGCTCCTCGAGAAGAACGGGGTTCACTGCCCTTCCAGAAGCGCCGATGTCCGAGATCATGGCAGGTCGGGCGGCATTGAGTCCGTTGGATTGGGGTCGGAAGCCAAACTCGGCAGCTTCGCGCTCAGCTGTCGCCGAAGTGCGTGCTATACCGCCTGCGCCAGCTTCGGCCGCAGCAGCGCCGCCACGGGCAAGGCCACTAGCACTGCCCGAAGCGCGGGACAGACCGCCAAGGCCACCGCTCGATCCACGCAGCGCACGGGCAGCACCCGTCTCGGCCTCGGCAAGCGCACCGCCCTTGGACAGAAGAGAGGCAGCAGCGGTCTCGGCTTCCACCGCCTCGACTGCAACCGCGAGTCGTCGCTCGAGATGCGCTTGCTCGTGGACGGCGCGCTTCTTCAGAACAGCTCCGCTATCACCAGCCGTGGTTCCACCGGCAGCCACCGCAACGCTACCCGCGCCACCGGTACCGACGGTACCGCCAACTGTGCCGGCATAGGCTGGAGCTTGGCTCTGTCCGGCATAGACAGAGGCGGGCGCACCGGCAGAGATAGCATTGACGCCGATTGAAGCAGGAGTGCCGCCAGCGACACCCGCTCCGATCAGCGCGTCCTGATCACCGCTGCCGCCGACTTGACCGCGTCGCTTGGCCTCGAGGAACTCGGTGTACAGCTCGCCGCCCGGGATCATGGGTCCGCGCGTGTCCGCGTTCGGCGTCACAAGCGGCACCGGCTTGTCCTTCTGCTTGTTCGCCACAAACAGGTTGCCAAACAGCGTGCCGAACATCATCGTCGTTCCGCCGATCGCAAGTGCGCTGCCGAAGCCGCCACGCTTGGAGAGCGAGCGCGCCTCAAGCTTGGTGGCATCGACGTCAGTCGACACGACAGAGTCTCGCTTCTTGAGCACACTGCCGCCACCACCACCCGATGACTGGACACCCGCAGCGGCGTTGAGCTCAGCACTGAGAGCCGACGTGTCAGGCTGACTCTGCACTCCGGACCCGTCAGACGAAGGGACATACGGCGTGGTAGGAGCAACAGCACTGCCGTCAGCTCCGGCACTCGAGTACTGAGGAGTCTGAGGGAAGACAACCCCGTCTCCCGAAGGAGGGTAAGCAGAACCGCCAGGGGCTCCCATGCCCTGAGGACTAGCGGAGGGGCCGCCTTCAGCAGCGCCCTGAGCCTGCCTCTGGGCCTCCTGCTTCTCGGCAGCCTCCTTCTTCCTCTTGTTGCGTTCCTCTTCGCGGTTCTGCGGGAAGGCTGTCATGGACTGCGCATATCCGAGAAGAATTCCGATCCCGGCCAGTGGCAGTGCGGATCCCCAACCGCGCTTATCGAGTCCAGCAGCGCCCTCGTGGCTGCCGACGAGGGCATCGCCAGCCACGCTGCGTCTGCGCAGAACCGGCTCGCCGCTCGGAGCGTCGGCGCTAGCACCACCCGCGCCATCTGCAGCAGCAGCCTCGCTCTGCGCGGTCATGGCTGCAGCCTGCTGCTGCTGCTGCTGCAAGGCAGCTTGGGACTGCCTCTGCTGCTCCGCCTGGAGCCGAGCAAGATACTCACGATAGCCAGGCATGGCATTGACGGCAAGCTGACCCGGCTGGCGACCCGGAACTCCCACAGCACCGTACGTCGGAGTGGGGTCAAGGTCCTCGAGGATCTGTCGATCGCGTGGATTCTCGGTGCGGTACCTTGCGTGGGTGACGCCGTTGAAGAGAAGAGGGATCACGCTTCCGGCCACCACGCCTCCGGCAAGCTTACCCGCCGGTCCGCCGGTGAAGAGGAATCGCTTTTCGAGTCGCTTTGACGACGCGCCCTCGGACTGGCTGACCCTGGAAATTCGCTCCTCGATCCAGTCTCGCTTGCGCAGCACCGGCTGGGCACCATCAGCAGGGGGTGAAGTTGCACCATCTGCACCGGTGTAGCCAGTGCTGTACACGGGCTGCTGTTGGACATAGTCGGTGTTAGGGAAGACGTATCCGGACGAAGACACGCCGTTCTGGCTCGAAAGCGCCTGGATGCTGCCAGAAGCGCTAGCATCCGAAGCCGAACGCAGAACATCCGAAAGGTCCGCATTAGGTTGCACGGCAGCCGCTGCCAAGGGGATCTTCGGCTTGAGGATGTTGGGGTCATACGGATCGAACGGAGGCTTGATGGCATCTTTGTCCTCATTTCCTCTGATGACAGAAGGCAAACCAGGCGAGAGAGCAGCTCCCAGCCCCATACCGACCAGGGCAGAGACCCAGAAGCGCTTCGACAGATCTTGGGCACCATGAGCCGAGGATGGGGGAGCCTGTGAAACTCGACGCTTGACCATGCGCTTTTGCTTGTTGCTCGTGTTTGCCGACTTGTCGCCCGGCTTGTCGCTGACTTGCATCTTGGATCCTCCGGCAGAGTCCGAGTCCGGATCCTTCGGCTCGGGCAAGAGTGTATATTGGTTGCCGTCCCAGCGGGCAGCAGCGTCCAGTAACGTCGGTGGCGATGGCGGGGAGCTGAACTGGCTGGAAGCTAGCGTGGTCGTCTTGACGGCGAACATAAGATTGAAGACGTTGAGGACCGCAGCGGAAAGGCCGATCGCACCACTGACCCTCTGTCGTTGTCGGAGCGTAAGTGGACATCAGAGTGAAGTTCACGTCAGTGGTCGGGAAGCAGTACAGCGTTGACTCGGAGTGCACTTACCGTGATGGTGGGGAACTTGGTCGGCTTCGAGCCATACTTGGCGACGTGGACGGAATCTTCAATCTCGATTTCGTGCTGCCTCGATCTTTCCTTATGGCGCAGCATCTTCTCCATCTCCTCGACTTTCTTGCGCAGCCGCAGCTCGTGGTCTGCCATCTCAGTTTCAGCGCCCCTGCCTCTTTCCGCGAAGCGCGCTGCTTCCTCTGCTACTCGATCAAAGGGGGCCAGCTCGCGCTTGCTGCCCTTGTGCGGTTTGTGGTGGCGACGCTTCGTCCGATCCTCGCGATCATGTTTCGATCGATGTTTCGAACGCTTGCTCGAGCTTTGATCGCGATGGTGCTGAGCAGGTGCATTGCTGATCGACTCCGGAGCTGCCTGAGCCGTGAACGCCAGGCAAGCCAGGCAGAAGAGAAAGAGCAGTGCCACTCTCATGACGAGTTTCTCCACCGCCTTCGATCACTGCAGCAACGATTCGGGTTACAAGTTTGGGAGGCCAGCCTCGTAATGATCGTTTGAGTATCACTGCTTGGTGAATGGTCGATGAAGATGTCGATGTAGGGAGCGTGCTCGTGCACCTCAAGAAAAGATGATGGTCGAAAGGAAACGAAAAGAGCGGGGCCTAATGGACGAGCAGCAGCCGAGCTGCGTGATGCGTGGGTCCTTATGAGCTCCTGGTGCATCTCAGAAGCAAAGCCGAGTACCCATCAATTCAGGAACGGTACATACAGTGTTATTGTAGTTGAAGCACAGTGCCAATCCCATCGGCTGCAGAGATGAAGTCGAATGATGGCTCAGCTGAAGGGAATCTCAACCTTGATACTGCAAGACAAACAGGCTGCGGCAGCGAACAACGATTTCATCGCCGCATCACGGTATCGAACCCAATGTGGGTTTCGATAAGACGGTGTCGCTCTCGGGCTCGGTTCACCAATCAGGCACCTTGCGCGGGTCGCTTGGTTAGCTACAATGGCTGCCCGGCACGTCTTATTGCTTGGCTGTAGCCGGTGCGACACCAGCGTCAGAAGAGGGTCGCCATCATTACCATACCGTGGCCGAACCCTATCGTAGGGCAGGTGCAAGAAAAGTGGGAGGAAGTCCGGATAACGGCGACGCCGCATATCATATGCACTCATCTGCGGCCGACCCACCACTCTCATAAATCACATCCGAGCGCCCCGCCTCAATCTTAAAGCCCACTCTCTGAGCGCCTCCATTCACAGCCTGCTTCACTTCGTCCAGGCAATGCTCACCGGGCCCAGTTCAGTTTGGTCCGAGCGGTCGTGCTAGGAATCATAGCGAGGCAATGGGACGCTCGGGTCGGCGCACGTCCTCTACGTCTCCTTTGGCGCCGCCCACCTTGGCGTCCGAGCGCTTGCCACGTTGGTGTCGATCTCGCCCTAAGAGCGCTATCGTAGATAGGAGTCCGCAGATGTGCCCCTTGCCGGTTCATGTCCAGAGGAGGGACGTCGGCGACTCTCTGAAACTGGAGGCAATTAAAGGCTCAGCGGTCAGAGCCGGTTCAGTACAAGAGAGAGAGCCAGATCAGCAGTTGCCAGGACAGCTTGGAATGCCCGCCAACTATACCCCAAAAGAGTACCCTCAGGAGGCACCTTCACTTCTCGCCTTCATCCGCTCGGGCCTTGACCACTCTTCTTTCCGGGTCTTTCCTTCTCCTTCCTCCTCCCCCTTCTTTTACGACAGCCACTTTTCTGGCGTTCGACATCATGTCGCAGATGGCATGCGTGATGAGGCTGGCGCTGGTCGCCATGCTCTTCGTCGCGGTCCTCACCTCTAGTCAAGTTTCGGCCGATCAGGTAGCTCATCCGCCTCGTCACGCTCATCCAGGCCTGCGCAAGTCGGTCTTCGGGAGGCGTTCTACCATGATGCCAGACCCGTCCGACCCGGACTGCCCAGAAGGTGACGAAAACGGACCATGCCATCTCCAGGAGGTAGCCCAGAGCCTGGCCGACAAATCGGAGAAGGCTGGAGGCAAGGAAGAGACCTATGAGGCCGTGGTACCCACTTCACAGGGCGATACCCATATCGACGTCCGCGCTCGATCTGAGGTGGGCAAGAGCGGCTCGCACCGCTCTTGGTCGTGGTCGTCATCGACCCATTCGTCTTCGCACTCGTCGTCGTCGTCCAGCTCAAGCTCCAGCTCCAGCTCTAGCTCCAGCACCTCGTCTGACATGCCTTTGAGCGCCTCGCATGATCATCCGAGTGGACATCACGCCGCTTCGACGGGCGAGCAGCAGCACAACTCCCACAGCGACCACAGCGGCCACAGCGACCAAGGCAAGAACGTCCCGGCAACGCAAATGGAGGTGCGCTCGCCTCCTCGTACCCGTGCCCGTCCCCAAGAGGTCGAGGGTAAAGAGACGGTGGTGCACGCTTCGCACAGCCGTCATACGAGTGACACTACCAAGTCTGTCTCGACCTCGGAAGACGATGGAGACGGCAAGGTCAAGAAGCACAAGACCGAGACCAAGACGCACGACACTTCGTCGTCGTCGTCGTACAAGAGCTTCACCAACGTCTTCCACTACGTCATCAGTGGAGACATGCAGCATTCCGGAAACGAGGCTCCCTTTGCCGACGGCCACATTGAGTGGAGCCATACGCCTGTCGATGCCGCTGCTCTGGCCATCGAAGCGCAGATTGGCCGTCCGATTCTGCGACCTGCCCGTGCCAATGTCTGCAACCGTCGCTTCCCATGGAAAGGCAAGCAGTACACTGCCGTGGACAGGGACCAGCGATTTGACGACCCTTGGCCGAGAGAGGCGCTTGACGAGGTCTCAAAGGCTGCGCTCGATCTGCACAACCAGGAGCGTGCTCGTTACGGGCTGGTGCCGCTGCAGTGGAATGCCGAGCTGGCCAACATGGCGGCCTGCTGGGCCGATCTCAAGGCGTACGGCCACTCGGAGGACCACTACTGTGCTTCGGGCGAGAACATCGCCATGGGTGCTGGCGACACTTGCTACGGCAACCCGCTTCAGGGCATGAAGAATGCCATCATGTCGTTCCTCGACGAGGACCGCAACTGGGCGCGAGAAGCACACCTGGCGGACGACGACGGCCACTGGACACAGATCGTGTGGAAGGACACGCGCTTCGTGGGCTGTGCAGTGTCTCAGCGAAAGGGTCTTGCGCAGAGCTACAGCCACTCGGGCGGTGCTACGATGTACGTCGTTTGCGAGTACTATCCGTCCGGCAACGTGCAGGGCCAGTTCGAGCACCAGGTGCCGCGCGTCAAGCCTCTGCCTCGACTTCGATCCCAGTGCTCGGCCAACGAGGTGCACACCAGGCGCTAAGCTCGTCGCCCTCGGCTTTCAACCTTCCCAATTCCGGAGTCGAGCGGCTGGCGACGTGCTTTGTGTCCACTGCACCTCTTCGGCCCCGCTTGTCACCATCAAGCCTCTTTTTCTTTCTTCTACTTGGCCCGCTTCAGCTTCTTCTCCTTCGCAACTTTCTTTTTGTCCAGTTCAGTTACACATGCAAGCATTTCTTCTCGAATTCGTCGGCTTCCACGCTCATTGTTCTTTCAAGCCGTTCACCAGCATACCCGAGCCTCTTCGCCCTGCGTGGAGCCATTTGTCCCTTCGTCCCGGTTGCTGTTCTTCTTTATTGGAGGCGTCTGGCACGAATCCAATCGATTTTCCCCCAACTTGAGCGTATTCGAGTGTGCCTGTGAAAGTGCCAAAACTGCCTGGTGTTGGCAAGGTGCGCCGAAGTCGCCACGTCGTCGCCGCATTTGCACCCATGACAATACAAGCGAGTGGATATGTACGCAACATTTGAACCTGCTATCAACAAGTTCCATCCCGGCTAGCTCAGTCGGTAGAGCGTC